TGGCCCCCTGGTACATTTGGTCTAGATCCGCCACTGTTCCTAACCTTCACTAGACGTGGATATACTTTAGTATATTCCGCTGTAAAATTAGTCCTATATTTTCGTTTTTTACTCGAGGATTAAACCTCTGTCGTTTCACAGGATGCACAGCTTTGAGTGGTAACTAGGTGACTGCCAGAGAGTTACCCAGAGAAACTTATCGGACTGATCCAATCAGCTCCCACAACCAGTCGCCTGGAAAGCTGGTTGAACAGAGCATCACTATGGACAGACACGATGCACAGGTTTCACCAGCAACCTCCTCCCCACACTCCGCACTCTCTTGTTGTTCCTGCGCAGTCGCAGTAGTTCTCATCCGCACATGATGCACAAAATATTGTTTTAACTGCCCGCTCTCACTCGCATTAAGAAAACACCACATTGCATTGTCTAAAATCCGGCATCATTAATCCACTCGCGGGCATCCGTGAACAACCATCTATATCAGGGAGACTCTCTGAACTTCCGGGAGACTTGGGATGTCTGCGGAACATGCAGTGGGTTGGGGACTGAGCATGGTCTTTGCTGTGATTGACAGAGGCAATGACACTGGCAGTGACACCAACAAGGAGAGCGATCATAGTGATGCTAGTCTTTGCCATCAATCTGTATCTAGACCTCCTCTAACTCTCTACAGACATGGGGGAGATGGAGCCAGTTTTAACCCCACAGACGCAGAGCTACTCATGCTAGTTATTTTATGTAACATCACAATAACGTTGGAGCCAAAACCAATGCTAATTTAAAAGAAGATACAGTGCACTTGTTAAACCTGAGGAGGTTGCCTAAGGGCAGGTTTTAGACAAAAAAAGGATTAGTGCAAACATGCAGTAAATTGTCAAAACGATGCTTGGGATGTAGGTGATGTCAATGTGTGCAGTTCATCAATAAAAAAAGCGGATTTTTGGTTGAGTTGTCCTTTAAAATACTTTGTCTATTTTAATAACTATACATTTCTTCAGATGAACATTAGAAAGCAAAGAAGTTTTATTTTAGTTTGAAATTATTTTAATTATGTATCACAGCTTTGATGTGAGCTAAGGATTTTGCTAGCTGATTAAACATCTGCTGCCTGGATGTGTTTGCAGCGCTGGTGGCAGCAGCTTTCTCCGCTCCTCTTTTCCTTGTGGGCTCGTCTCCGTAATGGAGAGTCTCCTCCAGAACAGCTACAGCGCCTCTCGGATTGTTGGCTCTGGGCCTGCAGGTAGAACCAGACATTACCTACCTGTCAGCTAATTGATAAACAGACGGTGCTAAGGAGTGCTCTGTCACTGTTTATGGTCTGCAGTCTAAAGCGGAGTCAGGTGGCCAAGATGCCTGAAGCTGCTGTTTTGGTGTGCGCCGCGAGCCTGCATGGCTCCTTCTGCAGAGGCTGTGAGGAACAGCAGCAGAGCTTCAGTGATGCTGTGAAGTCACTGAAAGCAGAGAGAGGAGCTGAATACAAACAGGTGAGAGTCCAAAACAAAAACTGATCAATCCTTCAGACATGTGGAGATGCTTGAGAAAACAAGCCAACCATTCATTCCTATTGAACTGTTTGAAACTGCATCATCTTGTTAAGCTAGAAAGGAACTTTAAAGGTTCTGGTTGTCAGTTTGTCAATTTCTCTGAGAGGAATAAAAAAAAAAAAAGAAACTTTAATGATTTATTTTTTTTGGCCCAGGTTCTTGTTTCTCTGCTCTTCCTTTGCTTGAAGGACTACCTGTCAGCACTTCTGTACCCTCAGGTAGGCGAAGTCCAACCGGGAATTAAATCTTTAACATTCTGTATCCATCATGAATGAAATACACTTTTGAAAAAAGAACAAATTGCATCTTTAGAGATTTAAATTTGTGAAACAATAACATATGTACACTGAATGTGGTATTTTTCTAGAGTGCAGCTAAATCTGATAATTATGAGATAAAGAATCACAAATATGATAAATCATGTTTTTTTTCCACTGTAGGAGCAAAGTTGTGAAAAATCTAAACATTTCTGCTCAGAGCTTCTGGCTGTTTTGGTGAATTCTGCTGACTGTCTGCTAATCTTCAGCTCCAACGGTACCGTTTACACTCAGCTGGAACTAGTTCCAATGATCAGGAGCTTCTTATATTTATGTTATCGACATTTTCAGCATCTTCAGAACCAAACCGGTATCCCTGGGTCTCCCTGACATCTTCGGACGATTGCATACGGTTAATGCCCTGGGCTCTCTGCAGGTAAATCCATTAAGTCTTCACACCACTGCTCCGTTCCAGCTTGTCATGTAAAAACTTGGAAGTACCTTTTCCATCTATAATTGAACATTTACCCGATAATGAAATGGCTCCAAATTACTTTGTGGTGTAAGTTGAGGAGATTCCTCCAATTAAAGCTGCTCAGAGAGAAGCTTCAAGCTTAGATTAAGGAGCAGATTGTTAGTCTGGGACACTGGGAGGTTCGGCTGCCCTGCAGAGAGGAGGGAATTTGATGCTGGCTGGGGATCAGGATCAAACTTTGGGCTCTAAAGCTTTGAAAGCTGAAATCTTTCCAAAACATTTTGATCCTGATGTTTGAAATTTTTAACATGAAGTGTGAAACTGATTTATATGGAATATATTATGATAATGGTATAAGAATACTTTCTTTTGGCTCCGTTTTCTTGGTCATATTCATTTCTTTCCTGTTTTTTTTTTCAGTTTGCTGCTGCAGCAAAGTGCTGAGTTCCTCCAGAGGGCGCTGTGTTGTCCAGGGTTCCTCCACGCTGCCATCCTGTGGTACCTCTCTGTGCTGCAGCTGTTCCTAGAAGGAGACACGCCCACCATGACCACAGCACCTACTGAGAAGGTGAGGGTGGTTCTGTCTGTCTATGCAGAGCGATTAGAAATGATGCTAAATGAAAATCTGGGTTTTCTTTCAGCTGGATCCCTCCCAGGTTCTGAACCGCACCAAACAGCTTGTCCTGAGTTCGATCTCACAGGTACCTCCCGCTGCACTCTCCTCCAGCCAGCTGCGACAGGTAGGCTCCCACATCAGTGCCTGCATCCCAATCCAACCCTCCTGACTCGCCTTCATCTTATCTGGTGTTTTTCTCTGTGTTTTCATGGATCCAGCTGGAGTGTCAATGCGCAGACCTGGACCCAGAATTGGCTGCAGCTCTGTCGGTTTTGCTGAACCCTCACAATCTCAGCCCTGAGATAGACTTCCTTTAATGGTGACAGACTGGAAACATCTGACCTGATGCTAAACGTCAAACACAATGTTTTTCAAACAGGCGACTGTTTTACCAAAGTATTTTATTTATTTACATAGTTTTTCTACAGATCATATACATGAGGAGCCCTTCTGTTGCAGTGTTCTTTTCTTGGAATAAAAAAAGACTCCATCTCGTTGTGTTTCTTCCTTCCTACAGAGCTTCAACACCAGAGCTAAGCAGCTGTAGTTTGGCTAACAGTCATAAGGCAGCGCTTCCTGGTGTGACAACATTGAATACATAACTTAACATCAATTTTAAATAGTTTGTTGCCTGACCAGCAGTTCAAAACAATAAAACCTTTTCATCTTCAAATCTGAAGCTAAAATCTGCAACTTTCTTTAAGATCTTTCGTTCGGATTCATTTGCTTTTTTCCTTTGCTGAGTAGTCGGAACATTAGGACCAAAAACTGAAGAACTGCTGCAGTGTGAATGGAGGAAAGGCAGACACCGCCCTAGTGGCTGAAACAGGAACGACAGGACCCTGAGCACCTTCACCTGAAAACAAAAAATGATTTGATAAATTTTCAGAGCAGAAAACTCAACATATTTTAACATGCATCAGCATCTATACTCGCATAGCCCAACATGGTGATAAAATGTATACAACATCAAAAATGTTTCATTCTCCCAGCCTAAAAATCTAACTCAGCTGTTCTGACTGCCATGGCCACAGGTGTATAAAATCCAGCCTCTAGGGGTGCAGACAGTTTGGTGAAAGATTTCTGAAAGGATGGGAGCTCAGTGAGCTCCAGCCTGGTTCTGTGATCAGACAGGCTCTTGAACATTCAAATACATTCATCAAATATGGCAATTATTTAGCATGGATGCATATGAACATCCATGTTAAGATGAAGGCTGCCCATTGGCTATATTTAAAAAGGCTTTTCCTAGGGCATTATAGTGGTGAAGATTAACAGTCATCCGGGTCATAGTCATTCAAAAGGTTAAAGCCAATCAACTGGACCTTGTTATCCAAGTTTGAAGATGTTTCGCTTCCCATCCAGGAAGCTTTTTGAGTTCAAAATGTCAAAATTAGTGTTGAGTTCGAAGCTTTATAGAGTATATAACCCAGAAAGCTCCTGATATGACTGATCCCTGATTCACAGCCCAATTAAAGCTGCTGAATAAGTTGATTCTGTAGAGAATGGTTGTAGTGGTTCTTTTACCCTCAGCTGAACCTAAACTTTGGGACTCTCTCAGAACAGTTTGAGACAATGGATCCAAAGTGCAGACCCAGACAGGCTGTTTGTACCTCTGAAGCAGAGCAGGACCCGGACTCCCTGCTGTCATCTGTCCTGGTCCTGCTGGACCACTTCTCCGGTCAGACCTATGGTCTGCAGGTCTGCATGCTGCCTCTTGGTGCCGCTCCTCTGGACCTGGGCCTGGATCAGCGGGTGGACCATGGACATGTGGACGTTCAGGTTGTGCGCCTTCTCGAAGCGCTTCCTGCATATCAGACACTCAAACTCCAGGTCTGCCTCGGCCTTGTGTTTTGTCATGTGGTACTTCAGGGACGCTCTCTGGCGGCACTGGAACCCACAAACCTCACATCTAAAGAGGAGGATCACAACCAGATTTTTTTTTTAAGCCATAGCTTCTGATTATGACCAAACAATCAGAAATAAGTTCACCTTCATCTGGAGACCAACCTGTACACCAATTTTACATTTATAAAATAACGATCTGCAAAACCTCAACATGCAACGGACAGTCTGTTACGGGTAGTACCGATACCCAGGCAAGGTGAGGATGGCCTAAATTCTTCTGCAAAGAAATGTATTAAATTCTGGAGGAATTTCTGGGGTATTTAGAGGACTCTTTTCCCCCTGCACACTGCTGGTCAGCTGGCTGAACAGAGCCTGCTTTAATTCCTCACTGGATTCAGCTGTAGATTGTTATTTCAATTTCATCAGAGGTACAGTGAGGAAAATATATATTTGAACACCCTGCTATTTTGCAAATTCTCCCACTTAGAAATGATTGAGGGATCTGAAATTGTCATCGTAGGTCCATGTCCATTGTGAGACATAATCTAAAAAATCCAGAAATCACAATGTATGAATTTTTAAACTATTTCTGTCTGACTTGCTATAACCGAAATAATGCCAAACTGGCGAGCTACCAAATCCCTTCTTTGGGATATTATCCTTCGCCTCTCCTGCTGAGACATCTATATGTGCTCTGTGTTGTGGTTTTAGAGGGTGGCGCTTTGTGACTGCTTGCCTGGGTCAGTGATGGCGATTAGTTTGTGGGAAGTGGTGACTGTACCATGATAGACTACAATGAAAAGGAAGGAAAACTGTTTCTATATTGAACTTTTGTTAACCCTCCTTTTTTCTTTTGCACCACACGTCTATCGACCAATATATATTGTTATTGAATAATCATCCAGCCCTACTTAGAGCAGCCAATCGTTGGGGTTGTAAAGTTGTTGAGCTTATTTAGGACATGTATTTTATTTCTAGTTCTTCCAATAACCTGTATGTTGAGTATGGTATAGCTAATAATCATATTTTGACTTATATTCCTACAAAGATGAAGCTCTAAATATCATGCTGGAAGATTTTTCTAAAATGTCATAAAAAAGACAGTGATTGGATCACTTAAATTATTAATCATGTAGAGGAATGTAATGCGGAATAAAGTCCAATCAAGGCCTGAAGATGTTTCAGTTTCAGACCGTAGGAACTAGGTCTATGGTCAGCTGCAGACTGAGGTCATAATGAAGCTCCTTAATCAGGACTTACTGCAGCGGTTTGGCTCCTGAATGCCTCATCTGATGAACTGACAAATGTTTCCTCTGTTTGAAGGTCTGACCACACTGGTCACAAATATAGTTCCTCTCCTCTGGAAACACAAATAGAAATATTTACATTATTATCATTTGTACATCCTTATTGAAGTTACTGAGACCAAATATTTCATAGTAACCTGATAAGACAAACATTTAGAAGATAAAAGCCACAATAACTCACTAACTGTATTGATGAGTTCTTGCATCAATGCAGCATGGCATGGAGCAAACCTACTGAAACTATAGCCCCATTTACACTAGCCTCTGAAAACCGATCCGAGCCGAGTTCGGACCGAGCTTGGATCAGTTAACCATGGTGATTTTGGTTCCTTATGCCGTTTACACATCACGCTAGCACCTCGCCTTCTAGTGACGATGGTACTAATGCTCTCTAGAGGTAAACAAGCAAATCAACATGGCGGCGCCCGTAACATTCAGGAAGTTTGGTTATAATTGAGATATTTCGTTTTTTGCGAAAACTGAAAAAAAGAGTCAGGTGAAGAAGGCAGCCTTCGGTAAATTTACTTGGCAGAGTCGGCTTATGGGAAGTGGATACGACAAACGTTGAGGTTCATCACACTGCTAATCAGAAAGCATGTGGTTCAGTAGGGAAGCTAGTATTTTTATGAATGTCTGATATATCATGATTACAGAGGCTGACTGTAAGGAGATGATGCGCTTTGCTCATGCGCTCTTTGTTATCTGAGAACCGTGCCGGAAATGAACAGTGCTGAGACCTACTAATGAACTAGGACCAGTTTAGTGTGGTTCAGTACGGTTCAGTTATGCGTGCCATTTATACTCAACAGTTATCTCAGTTACATTGCTCGGACCGATCTTGGCACGGTTTCAATAAGGGTAGTGTAAATGGGGCTTATGTCAAAGGCTCAGAAACTGACCCCAAAAGAAACAGCAAATCACAAGGCAGTATCACGGCTTACGGCGGGACATACAGCTATGATGAAAGCAAGTGGAGGGAGCCAACAGCTGAACCAAAATAGACATGGCTGCACAGGAAGAAGTACATATATGAACAAGGAAGTCACACCGTGTAGCACCTGCACATTTTATCTTGTTAGCATGAGTGGCTAATACCAAACTTTGGCAGGTGGGCATTTGGTGTCGCTTTGCTCCAGCATGTAAGAAAGTTTGCTAAACGGCCCAGATTGATAGAAATAAACCAATATTATCAGTCTGTCTTTCCAGATTGGTCAAATTCTATTTGAGCTGCAATCAAAGCAGTGTGTGATCTTTTTAAAAGGACACGTAAGGTTATGTGTGACCCCGTTGTTCAGCGTGTGTGGGCCTAGAAAGACCCACCAAAGAGTATCCCTGGAGGCCTCACCTGTGTGGATGAGCTTGACGTGTCGCTGCAGGTAGCGGTCGATCATGAAGACCTTGTTACAGCCAGGATGAGGGCAGGGTCTCTCCCTCATGTCCTCATGATGCTCCTTAATGTGTTTCTAAACAGACACAAAAAGAAGTTCTACTGAGAACCTACACACACACGCGTCTGCAGGGATAGGTTTACCTCTGACTCTGAGAAGTTAGAAAGAAGAAAAAGGAGCACACAGATTCACAGAGGGAGCAGAGGAGGATCCATCCTGACCTTTAAGCCATCAGGAGCTCTGTAGACAGCAGTGCAGCCCTGATATGGACACTTGTAGATGTTTGGGAGTTCCTCTCTTAAAAACAAAAAAACAACAGCTTCACTTTATGGATCTGAACAGGACCAGAGATTGTTGGTTTAAGAACCTCCTGGAAAGTTTACACACCCTTTAGGCTTGAACTTGTTCTTCCAGCCTGGTTTGGGTCCAGGTTTTTTCCTGACTCTGGGTTCTTCAGAGGACTTTGGGCTCTGCCTCCTCTTGTTGGAGATGTTTAGTCTGGAGGCTCTGAGGGGAGGAGACGTCTAACAATTTACAAACAACTACAGGGAGTATTGGTTGGCCTTTAACTCTACAGGAAGTGGTTTATGACTTACGCCTTGTTCAGGATTGGCTCAAACAGCTCCTCGTCTGACGGGTCCACTCTTCTGTTCTCCTCAATTTCTTCCTCGGAGATCGCCCTGAAGCCACACAGATTCAGAGTCTCTCTTAGCTTTAATTTCAAAACCAGCTTTGTGTCACAGGGGAAATTAAGAAAACTTGCACTTGAATTTGGGGCCTTATTCTTAAAAAACACTGCATCAAATCAACTTCCTCCTCTGAAGTCGCCTTTTTTTATAAAAAGAGTCCTCCTGTGTCTAATCCAACATTGGAATGAATAAACTTCCCCTTAATCTAGGGCTCAAATGACTGATCAGATTAATTGTGATTAATCAAATACTGATATACTAATCAACTACTGAAGTGTACAGACTCTAGAACAGGGATCTGCAACCTTTACAATCAAAGAGCCATTTTTCATTCAGTTCAGCTAAATAAAACTATTTCGAGATGTTAACTGATAGGAAAAACATTAATAACTATTTCTAAATGTCTACTACAGCATATTATTTCATTTATGAAAAGATCACTAATTTTATTTCTTTTTAACAAACATTTGCAAAAAGAAAGCATCATTTCATTTTTTTCTTCTGAAATTTTTTTTTGATAGGTATAAAAAAACATATCTTTTAGCCTGATGACAAAAAAGATCTAAGCAATTTATTACAAGTAGCTTTAGTGTCATTTTTGTTTGTAGACAAGACGTACCCCATTTCCATAACAAGCCAGATTATTTCTCATGGTTTATTAATAACATGTTACTGTTTAACCAAAGTGTCTGTAATTTGTTTTGATTCTGACTACTGTTTTTTGGAAGCATGCTGAGCCTAATTTATATAGCCTGTTAATCTAAAACAATATGCATTGTATGGTTGCATAGAGGTGAACTTTCACAGCAACCTGGAGTTTGAAGATGTTTCTCTTTAATGTTTCAATAACACCAGTAATCAAGGCTTCTTTTTCCTGTTTTATCTGAGTGCTTCAGCCGACACTGACCCATCAGAAACAAACCTGTCAGAAAGATCATCGTCAGCGCTTCGGTCCTGCAGTGGAGCAGCAGCTGGAGACAGCGCCTCCTCTGGAAAATCTGGGGGGGGGAAATAAAATCTCAGCATTATAAATCCCACTAAACCCACAGCTGTGTTTCCACCTCAGACCCACGCAGCTTCAGCTGGTTCTATTTTCACATTTTGAAGGTCTCATGTAGGAATTCTCACCTTCACTCCCAGTCCAGCCCTCCTGAGCCAAGTTCTGTTCTGTTCCTGAGGGCAGACTTTGCTGAACCAGAGTTTTTATGCTTCCATCTAATAACCTTTCATTTCCAGCAGACTCTTCCCCCTCATCCAACTCTTCCTGTTCGTCCTCTGAGATTTCTCCCTCATCATTCCTGATCCTTAAAGCTCCTCTACTGGCCTCCCCTTTGGCTCCCAGGTAGGAAGCAGAGGAGCACTGAGTGTCCATGATGTATCTGTGACCATCGACACAGCCCCACACAGCCTTCACAGAGCCCCAACACTGGCCCTCCAGCACCTCCTTCAGGTCAGGGCAGGACCGGCAGGCCTCCCCGTGTCGGTGAGCCCAGGTAACCAAACTGTGGAGGCATTTTGGGTCAGTTGTTATGGAAGTTGGTGCTGAAAGAACAGAGAGAAAAAAAACCGAGTGAACCCACAGAGCTAGCATTGTAATGGGGTTGGTCAAAACAAAAAAGGGAGGATATTCTTTACTTCCTGATGTGTTGTTTGCTGAGGAGTTTGGACACTCTGAGTTCTTCCTGTAAATAAACAAGCAGCTTTAGGTCCAGCACGTTTCACGGTTTAAAAACACTCTTAAAGACACCCTGAGCTGTATTTACTTATTCAGACCCTCACCGGTTCCCCTTTCTGACAGGTGGCAGGTTGACTCTCTGCAGAAACCTGATCAGGGTATTGTGGCACTTGTAGAACTTGGTGTGACACTTTTTGCAGATAAACTCTGACAGTTCAGGATCACGGTCCAACTGGACCCCGACCAAGCGCTGGAAGTCCGTATGGAACAAGAGGGGCGCTTGAGCAGCAGAGTCAAAGATTTCCAGGGAATCCTGTGGCCATTTGTTGAAGGCGTGCCTTAGGCTGCGCGGGGAGAACTTTCCATGGCAGAGACGGCAGATGGCAGTAGACAGTCTGCCTGCTGGGAGACGAAACAGGCATATGTTTTGTGTTTGCTCCACTTTCAGCCCCAAAAAACAAAAAATATAAGAACAAAACTGATGTTACCATCAATGAACCATCATTGCAATTTCATTCCGCTTTTCATTTGCACTAATCATAAACATGTAGTTGTTTCACTCCAGGTTTTCCTGTATTCATGATCTTGAAAGCTTGTTTGTCCAGAGTCAGTTGTCGCAAGATTTTACTTTTGCCTGGGGAAGTTTTTACCTCTACCTGCATGCATGGAAATGTGTGTTACCACAACTCTCTACCTTATGTGTGGAGGCAAACCCACTCTAAACAGCTACAGTGAGACAGAGGGTATCTTAAATTTGCATTTTGCAATTTGCGATTATATTGCTAATACAATTAATTGCCCAGTTAATAACAGCTGGTTATTAACTGGGCAAAAACAACTAACCCATTTGGTATTTACCCATGGGCTACATAAACTTAAAAAGAAGCGGATTGAAGCAGTGTTTCTATCAACCAACTCATATCAGAGATTTTAGACACGGGCATATATATTCTATTGTTATTTTTTCTTTGTCTATCGGAACGATTTCTAAAATCTTTATCCGATCAGGACAGCCCTACTTCCACTGCATGTGTTTAAAAATTCTCTTATTAATTTATTATTTTTTATTCAGACCGCTGGAACAAGTTGCTAAAACGCAATAATTCCCTTATTTTTCTTCTTTTTTAACTCCGCATATGGTGAAAAAAATCCATTTAACCCTTCATGTCATGCAAAGATCGTCTTGATACAAGAAAAATACAGGTTTTTAAGAAAATGACCATTTTTCAATCGATTGTTAGTCGATAAGGTAAATCCACTTTAGATTAATTTATTAACACATAGCTTGCATCCCTAGTAATGATGATGGTAAGCTGGTTAGTGGGTATGTTGTTTTACAAAATGTATCGACACATGAAAACTTGTGTTTTCTTAAATCTCAGTGCGAAAAAAACATTTTGTTTTGCGTATGATTGAAAATAAGATTTATGGATATGATTATGCTCTGAAATAATAAATTATAAAATTACTACATATTTTTCAGTTAGATTCAACCCATGACATTTTATCTTTTGTCTACATGAGTTAAAGTTTGTTTGTGTATATTGTTTAAATCCTCTTAAAGCTACAGTGTGTAACTTTTAGCGACATCTAGCGGTCAGACTGCAGACTGCAGCAACATTAACCTCTCCACCCCCACCGCTTCTCCCCCCCAACAGTACGGCGAGAGTTACGGGACAAAATGTCTTCCACGATGTCCGCATCACCTACCTTCTCAAGTGATGAGGTTTGTTTACATAGATAATTTTACAGATAGTATTTCATTAGTCTGTGTAGGGTATAGATTTCATGTAGACTTAAGATAATAAATATACCCGTTATTTTTTCTACACCGTTGTGACGTTTTGGCGATCTCGCAATCGCTAGTTTGTTGGCTCTGCGCTGCCGTAGCGCAAAGATGTCTGCCTCCATGGCTGCGAGACCCGCTCCTATGTAATTATAAATAACGAATTCTAAGGCAACGCAAATATTAAGGTTAAGAGGCTGAGCTCGTAGATGATGATAAATAACATAGTTATGTATAATATATTACATTTCTGACTGTATATCCCTGTAATTATTACACACTGTAGCTTTAATTGTTCTGCATTATAACTAGGACACAAAATGCTTTAGCACCTACTGATGGACACAGATTACTGACAACCTTTTTCCATTGGTGAGGTTGAGCATCATTGCATTTGGCTTATGTTTGAGCAGATGAGATTGAACCACTTACTTGATAATCTGGTTTTGCTGTCTGGATTTTTCTCTTGTTCGTCATCTTTTATCACACTTAAGCCTGAGTTCATGTCTATCCCTGTATTTTCGGGTAACAAACCATCTATAGTATGTGGTACAGTCTTCTGAAGTTTCCCTCTGTTACCAGATGACTTTTTCTCCTCACTTCCATCTGTTGACATCTGCACTCTGCCAGTCTGTTGTGATGAGGTCCTTAGACGTCGCACTTTCTTCTTCATGGTTTATGTCAGGGCCCGACTTTCTGAATAATATTCTGTTTCTGTAGTAAGGTGGAAAAAAGACAACCCTGTGAGCCACTGAGATAAAGAAATAACCAAAATTTGTGAATTTGAATACAACAATATGTTTGAATACATTTAGATTAGGGCTGGGCAATTAATTGCATTTTGCAATAAAATCGCAATTTAGAAATATGCAATTTTTTAATCACAGAGACACTCAATTTCAGTCATAATAGATTCAACAAGAGTAAGACCCTGAATTCCTCCCTAAGTTGGTGGTAATAAAGTGGGTATGCTGTCAACAGAAGGGAACAGCGAGGTGCAGCTAGCACCTAAATCTATGCATTATATTAAGAGTAAGATCTTTTTCATGCAAATGTTACAGCAACGTCCTGCAGCACAGGCTCCTGGACAAGCAGGCTCTCAAGGTCATGGACAACTGAAACCCACAAGTGAAACACCGACATGGTTGTGCTTAGTGCAAAAAAAAAAAAAAATCGCAATAAATTTGAATCTTAAAATAATCGTAATTTAGATTTTTTTTTTTTTTAGATAGTTTGGAAAATGTATAACTAAATAGCAATTATTTCTCATCCCTTGAGGTTTCTGGTCAGTGCTGACGGTTATCAAAAAATAACAAACCCAACTCTAGGTGCCTTTCAGCTGCTGTTTAGCCTGGTTAGCTGCTTAGCCTATTAGCTGGTTAGCATCTTACTTTTGCTAGCTTTATTGGAGCTGCGCGGTTTAAGTGAAACACCAAGGGCTGGAATTGCAGCCTACCTTATATATTCCCAAGCCAAACAGCTTGATAACACGTTAAATGTAACACGTGACTTCTTGAGCCACTCAAACAAAAACAAACTCCACGGCTGCAAAGCTGTCCTCACTGATGTAAACATTAGAACCCGGAAGTGAAACCGGAAGTAGGGAAAGGGACGAATAATTCAGAGCGCCACCTCCTGGAATTCCGCGGTAATAATAATAATTAATAATAATAATAATAATAATAATAATAATAATAATAATAATAATAATAATATTGTTTATTATTATTGTTATAGAGGACATGTTTAAAAATAAATACAGAGATAAATACATGCTCAATAAATAAATAAGCATACAATTAATTGTCCCCCAAAAATACAATAAACAGATAAATGTTGGTAGAAATTAAATTATACAGTGAGACATAAATGTATATATCTCTTTTAATTAGCTTCTTTATTTATTCGCCTCTGTAATAATTACCTTATTTATTTATTGTCCGTTATGATCTTCAATATTTTCTCTATATTGAAAATGACGTTGGAGGGTGTTAAATGTAGTGAACACAAGTCAAACTCATAAGTTTTGTCCACTCTCACTTTGGGATACTGGACCACCAGGGTGCGCGGTGCAACTTAGTGAGCAGCCCAGGAAGCTGAAGTAGAAGAAGAAGAAAAAGGAGGAAGAAGAAGAAGATCACCATGGCTGCGTCTGACAGCGGAGTGAAGCCTCTTCAAAACGCCATGAAGATGGCCAAAGAAGCGATCCAGCTTGAGGGAGGAAACAGTCATAAGGTACACATCTACTCACCTGGGTGGAGATGATGAAAGCCTAGTCGAAGACCGACAGGAAGTGACGATGTGAGGGGATGTAAACAAACAGAGGGCGGGTAACAGCTGTCATTCTCAGTAAAGACAGTAAACACACTGGTGTCAGTTTTTATTTTTATTTTATTTTTTTAACATTTACTGCTGTAGGCTTTCCAGCATGTGACACATCCTCTCCATGTTCATACCTATTAAAGTGCAGTTGGTTCTTAAATGTGATTTGTTGACAAATTAGGCGCAGAAATGTAACTTGGCTGCTAGCAGACCCTAAATGGGTAAAAAAAAATCTACCTATTTAATTACAGGGCTGCCAACTTTTCACCAAACCTTGGGGTAAGATTTTGAAATAGTTTGGACAGGAAACCCTGTCAGGATTAGATGAGGGTAGGTGCAGCTCAAGGTTGGAGGTTTTCAGAGGATTTAACTGAAGCAAAGTGGCAAAATGTGGAATTTTTATAGCACAGTAAATGTTACTGAGTAACAATAAGTGATCTGTAGTTATGTGAAACATTTTCCCACAATGTACATTATTTTCTACATTCTGGTGATTTTAAGGGAATTGAAGTAAAGCAGAATGGGCCCTACTAAAATACTTGCATCGTAAATATAATAATTTCACAACTTTCACAAATTTTCACAACTGTTCATTAATTATTCTCTGCAGTTCAAGTAAATTAAACAATGGGGAACTAATAAGCTATTACTGGATTACTGGCACTGATACAGCAGCCAGTGCAATCGAAATCCATGCAAACTACACTGTGTAAGAATATTTGTAATAGGCTAAGGATTAAAAAGCTTCATTGATTATGTTATTAGTTTTTTTTTACAATTGACAAAACAGCTAAACAATTCAGACCTTCTAGGAGGCTGTCGATTTTATAAAAGTTCCCCATGGCAAGAGACAGTACTTCTCTGGATGTTTCAGATTGGAAGGTGTGATGGAAATTCAGTTTTTAAACATATTTAATCGACCAAAATAAGAATAAGATAAGTAATAATAAAAGAAGAACATCCCTGTGGTTTCTCCTCTATGAATCCTCGATAACCGAGTTGTTCTGCACATCCTCTCTGAATGTGGTTGGTCTTTTCTTTGGTGGCTGATCTTTTAAAAAATAAAATGCAATGGTTCTTTTTCTTGTTTGGGACCTCCTATTGTTTTGAGAGACCAACCTGAAAGCTTTAAGAATTAAAATATTTGTGTTGGTTTAATTTCTGCTAAACACCAACGGGAGATTATTAAACTAGACTGAGCAATAATTATTTAACTTGTCAGCAAAACATGGACTAAACCTGGGACTAAAAAAAGCACCAGGTAAAGAGTAAACAAACCATTGGATGTGATCCTAGCCTCAGCCTCCGCATCAATAGTTTAAGCAAGCTGCTGTAGTTTTTATTCATATTTACTCAAGTACATGATCACTTAAAATCTTCAATAATTTACAAAGAGAATTATCCTGGTCCAGATGAGATAAGATAAAAATTAAAATGACATACCTCATAACAACTGTCTTTTTTTCAATATCTAGCACAGGGAGTAGGTGGGAATATGGATTGGGTATGTGTTAGCACTAAGATTGTATTAAAAATGCGGACTGGATTTTGGTCACCGTGGTATTTATACATAGATAAGTGTAACAGAGTTGAGTTTTATTGTCTGTAATTTTTTTAGTGTGAGAAATTGGTAATATGGAGTGAAAGTGTGTGAAGATACTGAGATTGGTGAGTCTATTAAAAATCTAGTTAACCTTTGGAGCTCACAATGTTTAC